ATAAATATGTGAATTTGTTGCATGCAGTTCTTTTCATGTGTTTGTCAGTTCTGTGCCTTGAGTGTGCTCGATCTAGGTGAAGAAAATGACACCTTTTAGGGATTGGTTCTACTGTCACTTTAAGGTGGTCAAACTGCAGGTCACTACTAAAGAGGCTGTCTTGCCTTGTTGCTGGTGGCATATTCCCACTGTGTTCCCTGTGCCAGCATTGTCATTCATGAGTTGGAAAGCTTAACCAAAGATGTTAAAAACTAAGCCAGAAAAAACCCCAACAACCTAATGTTTCAGATGGATTTAGTTCCCTTATCTGTTTTACTGCAGGAACAGTAGTGCCGGCACAAATGAGGCAGTGGAAATGCTATAGCTGGCTTTGGAGGGAGAAATGGCTTTGTTAGTGGAAGCTGGCACCTCACTTTGCTTTTTAAGCCATTGTGGAACTGTGATCTGTTCTTTCTTGCTGCTTATCTCTGACTGCAGTTTGGGACTTTGTGAGTAGAAACTCCAGAGACTTTCAAGTGGACTATTTAGTGCCTCTTGGTAAGGAATGTGGAGCTACTGGAGCAGCTAAATTACTCTGTCAGGTACATAGATATCCTGGATGCTGTATAAGAGAGTGTAAGTTGCTGGTTATAAGTGATTTCTCAAGGCTTTGAGTTACTTTACACATCAGAAAGGTGTTGAGGGTTTTGATCATGGAAGAAAAACTTAACACGTGAATTGCTTTAAGTGGTTCTTGATAGTGCAGACTAAAAATCTAGATCCATGGTGATCTTCCTTGCCGTGAGAATCTTCTTTGGGTTTTAATCCCCAGGAATTCTTCATGAAATACAGTAACAACAGAGAAATTACTGTTTGATGGATGTCAGTTTTATCATTTACTGACAGAGGATTCACATTCTCTGATGGATTTTAAACAGTGTGGAAGCATGGAAGGGTCTCCTCTGCAGCATGAAGTGAACTTGTGAGTCTTGAATACTGTGCTGCACTCATGGTACTGTAGTAGTCAAACTAAAAAAAATTCAAGAGAAAGATCTCTGCTGCATCTTGTTAGAATTCTTCCACATTGAGAGAAGCAGACTTGCTTGTTAATAATTGACAGTCCTTGAATAATCTAATTATGCCTGCTTTCTTTTCCACTGTTAATTTTATTTCTCTGTAGTCTACAGTTTTGTCACTGTACTGCTGGATTTGGGGGACAGCAACAGTGCATACCTCAGCTCTGAAACTTCTGTACTATTCACCCATTTTTTTGAGATCTCTTTTCCCAAGACTGTAAACAGAAAGGTCACGGTTACCTCTGGGTCTTGTAGAAATGCTTGGGAAAACTGGGAAGGAATTCAATTTTTTGCTTCATGTTTTTTAGGATGTTTTTAGTTTTGGAGTTTTTTTGTACTATTTCTGTTCTTTAATAGCCAAGAACAGTGCTCTGCTCTGGACAGGGCTGGTACTTATGTCACCAGATGATGTTGTTATTACTTAGTGTATCTGACTGGAGAATCTCCAAGCAGCACCTGTCAGTGGGCAAGAATTCAGAATTTCTGAAAGTCTGCTACAGGTTTCATTTTACTTAACTTCATCTAGAGGACTAGTCCTTCTGAAGTAAGGACATTGCAGAATTTATTTTTAATCATACCTAGGAGAAATGCTGTCTGCCTTGTTCATGGGTCTTTCAGTTTCAGACTCTGAAATTGTCTTAACATAGGAATGGAAGAATTGAGGAACTTCATACTGCTTAACAAAATGTACAGTAAATCTCTATTCAGTGATTAATTGCATTGTATTACATAGCACTTAAAAATGCTGTCTGCATAGATTGTGCATCTTAGGAAAAAAAGAGCAGGCAAAATTTAGTTTTGATACAAACTTCATGTGAACCTGAGTGAAATGTTAGGTGTGACTTGTGGTCAGACAGATATTTATTGTTATTAAAAATGCTTAGTAGTGATTTGCAAAAGAGCAAACCAGACAGAAGCTCGAACTAAAATTAAGATCCCTTTGGCAAATCTGTAGAGGTTATGTGAAGATTATAGAGTGAATAGTTGGCCAATTTAGAAGGCAAGTGAATGTATTCATGTGTGAATAATTGCTATTATAATAGTTTGAGTTAGAGAAACTCAGTTCTATAAAGCAGGATTCTTCTGACAATAGTATTTCCACTGCCTCTGGCACAAATACTGCCAAAAGACTGGGTATCAATGAGGAGATTTCTGATGAGTAGTTTTAAAAGGAGTAATTGAAAAGGTGTTAAGGCATTAAGTTGCCTTTGTATGTACTGTGTTCATTTTTTAAACAAAGTTCACTCTGACCTTTTCTTCTGTAAATAGCTGTCCCTTTCTGTTACCTGCTGGAAGCTGATAGTCATGAATCATACTGAATAAAAAAATAAAAAGTTTGGCATTCTGCTCTTGATAGTTTACAATCTTCTGAAATACAAACATTAAGGTAGTTGAGATGGGATTCCAGGCTTATTTTTTAGCAGCAATCTGTTAACCCATTAGTTCCTCCCCTTTGCATCAGTTTTACCTCATGGTAGCTCCTTCATCCTTTTAAGGTCATAATCACCTGTCCTGTAGGATTCAGTTTCCTGCCTCTTATGACAGCTTCTCAGATCCATGATAGTCTTGTAGTAGTGCCTTTTTTATTTCCAGTAACTGTAAAGAGAACCAATATAGGTGTTGAAATCTGGTATCAGTGTCTGCAGTTTGCCACATGGTTCTCTGGTCCATTAAACTCCTCCTTGTACCATTCCCTTAACTTAACTGGGGAATTAACCAGGACAGAAAGACCTGGTGCAGGGTTTTGTTTTTAGATGATGTATTCCTTGCTCAACTTTTCACTAATTTAGAGGCTTGACTCTATGTAAAAGAAAAATCTGTGTAACAATGCTTTGGTTGCTAAGGATCTGGAACCAGAATTTCCTCTGTCATCCCAAATGACATTGCTGTCACACTTTTTTTTGTTGTTGCTTTGTCCTAATTAAAAACAGCAGTAGAAAACAACATCCATAATGTTTATTCAAAAATACTGGATGAGACACTGAGTGAACTGGACTTACTGACTCTCAATTGGGAAAGACTTGAAATTTAATGAGATGGGTAATACAAGGATTAATTCCATTTTGCTTTAAAGTGATTTCTCTCACAGGTAAGAATTTTAGGAATGTACTTGTGTGTTTGGGGAAATTATGGATTCTCATCCCAGGTGGAATTCACAGTGGGGATGCAACAGTCAATATTTGAAATGCAATTCACTGATGTAAAAGATGTCAAATATACTTCACAATATATGTTGTATATCTATCTGAATTACAGCAAAGTGTGCCTAAACAGCCAAAAATCAGTGTATCTTTAAAATTTTCAACTTATTTATTTATACATTTAGGATGTACTAGATTTCCTTCAAAAGACTTCTGCTCTGCTTCTGTGTTTTATTTACCCATCTTTGGAGTTGTGCTGAGGTTTAGTTCATTGGCTAATAGAGTATTATTTTTATTTTTGTCTGTAAGTTTGCATTTCCCTGTTTAGTTTCAGATTTGCTGCTTCAGTGATTAATGAAAATCTCTTGCACAATCTAGGGAAAAAATACATGAAATCCTGAAAAGTTATGTGATTAGGTTGTAGTTTGTCACTGTAGAAGTCACTATCAGGTATTGAATATGGCTGGAGAAAGGGGATTTCCCCCCTCCCTCAAGCCTTGCAGTTCTCTATAAAGATTATTTGTAACAATAACACATTCCAAGTGAGACTTTTTATTGTAGTGGGATTGTAACTTTAGATAGCTTTAAAGCGAAAAGGTGAGGATTTACTCCTAATGTAGTTGTTAAACTACCTGCTTACATACAGCACTCATGGGGAGAAGTTCTGAAGTACAACTGTGCTTCTGAGTGGCTGAGAATTAATTCTCAACACTTGTACCTGCATAGTGCTCCTATTTTCAAAGCAGGATCTTGGTAACTCAGTGTGTGCTTGGCAGACACAGGTGTAGGACTTAATACCATAAATCAAAGCAACTTACAAATGTAGAGAACATTATGGAGGTGCTCAGCATAAGAGTTCACTTTGGAAGGGATGGAAATCTGTCAGTCTCTGGTTACTATTGGCTGCGATTTTCATTTATTGTAGTTGGCCACAGCTTAAGCAATTTTGCAAAAACAGAGTAGTCTTTATCATTGCGTGGATTTTAATGTAGAAGCTTCATTTTGTCCCAGTGTCTTCCTTGGTCTTCTGAGCTGTGTCTAGTTAGTGCTTTTGAAAAGGATATTGACAATAGCATTAGGTTGGAATGGTCTTCCTTCTGCATTTGCTCATCAAATTACAAATGTGCCCCAAAGCCTTCAGATCAGTACCTTAGTTGTATCTCACTGCAGATAGGTTAATAAAATAAAGTGACCTTTCTGAAAAATAGTTTATTATGTAATTTTTCAAAGGCACAGAAAATAAAACTAAAAAATAAGAAAAAGTAAAATTCCATGGAGAAATAATGAAAAAAGGGAATAACATGCCTGTGTTGTGTGAAGTTGAGTAGCACAGTGTGGCCCTCATAGCTGACTCTGGTTGGACTAATAGTTTGAATTAGAAGCTTCCTCATGTCCCTTCCAACCTGAATTATTCTGTGAATCCATGGATTGCACTTTGATTTATTGTATAATCACTTCAAATCACTGAGGAGCTAAAAAGGGAAAATGAGAAAAACTGTCTTTGAGTCCTCATTTACCCAAATGAGCTACCCAAATGACTACACCATTGCTTAGCTGTTTTTAGTAGGAGTTGATTGTTTCCATAGTATAGGAATTGAGTGGATGACTGAATGTCCACTCCTTATACTTCTAAAATGCCTTGTTTCCTCTAATTTGCTCACATTCAAATCAACAGACACCTTATTTTAACTTGAAGAGTGATGATACTTGATTGCCCCACACAACACCACATTCTTATATGCTGGTCTCTGTACTGAGGGGTACCTGTGCATCTAAAAGTGTTTGTTGCTGTTTTTGTTTTCAGTTCGAATAAGGAGAAAATCAAGACGGCGCTCCCAGTGGGGCAAAGGTATTATTAAGAAGAGGAAAGTCAATAATTTAAAGAAAGATGAAGATGATGCAAAGTTTGCTGATGATGAAAATCATGGTGAGGACAATAAATTACTGGAAAATGGAGAGCTAGAGGTCAGCACTGACTGCATTGAGGAGAATGGAGAGGAAACAGGAGACCTCTCTATGACAAACGATGAATCCTCTTGTGACATTATGGATATAGATGCAGAGCAGAGGCTTAACAATGGGACATCAGGAAAGGAAAACAATTTTGCATCCACAGAAGAGGAGAGCTCAAATGAATCGCTGTTAATAACTGACAGTATTACCCTGGGTGCTGAAAAGGAATTGAAGAAGGGCTCTACATTGAAAGGGGACTGTGTGAATGGAGAGACATCTGTACACGGCTCTGAAGGTGTACCTGCTCCAGCCTGTCATAATGGTAAAGTAGAATCACTTGATGCTGTTTCACCCTGTGACAACAGTGATTGGTCTAGTAACAAGCAAAAATCTTTATCTGAAGATCAGCCAAAGGAGAAAATGGGAACTTCCAGTGAAAATCAAGGAACTGATGAGTTACCACATTGCAGCAATAATGAGAAAACACTACAGAGCACAGACATTGAAACTAAAGATGCTGAAGCAGATAAAGAAGGTATAGCTTGTTTTCCATGTTTCTGTCTTTATCTGTGTCCAAGTTAATGTGTGTATTTTTCACTCTAATGTTACAATTATTATATAGTAATATTTTATTAATTGCTGGCTATTTATTTGAACTCTTGGTATGCTTATAGTATTTAATTTCACATACAAAAATTAGAAGTGCAATCTTGACTTGCTATATTTTTATCCTAGGCAAGAAAGTGTATCCCCACACTAACACTACTCTGTTCATATTTGTTAGCTTTGTAGGAAATACTGAGATAACATTAAAACAATAATTAAGTATTTAAAAATATTATAAATAGCAATAAATACAATACATATTTTGGTCTGTATATTCTGTCTGATTTCTATTTTGATCTTCGTGATAGATATTGACTTGTTTTGTTAGAGAATATGATAACAGTATCATTGACAGTGGATAAAAAAGCATAGAAATAAAGAATGCATTCTTTTAAAAACCTGTGCGTAACGAAAGTTGAAGCAGTTTAACTCATCACAAAAGCCAGATTGTTGTTCATCTGTTGGAGAAGGTATCTGGCTTTGGAGTCACAGTGAACACAATAACTGTGCAGGAAAATGATAAGAGAAGGAAAATCCTGGTGGTGTTTAAAAGAAGGGGCCATGTCCTTTGAAGACAAGAGAGAGAGTTTCCTCAGGGAACAGAAGTAGAAGCCTTGTGCATGATTGCCTTTTTAATGAGCTTTCAGAATTATCTAAAAGAATGGAATCTTTACTTCAAAAGTTAGTGCTGAGATTTACAAAGTAAATGAGCTTTAATGAGAGATCTGAATTATGAGAAGATTACTGTGTACATGTTGGCTGTGTTTGTACATACACATTTTCTCTAAGGGTAAGGAGACTTAATACAAGAAAGGTCCTAGGAATATCACAAGAAGAGCATGATGCGTTAAGAGCCTTTACATTTCTGAATTTGGTGGGTGAATTTTGTATGCTTTAGGATGGTTATGATAGCAGGGGTCCTCAGAAGAAAAGGTGTTTTAAATAGTTGAGGAGAAAAATAGTGAATGAATGTAGGGAGAATATAAGGAGATAAGACAATATTTTGGTCAATAGGTTGAGTACAAAGGTGGAAGAAAACAGAAATGTGAAACAAAAGCATGAGGTTTGGAATAGAGCAGATGTTGGAATACTGTGGTCATGAAGATGTGGGATGCTTTAGAGAGAAAAATGAAGATTTGTTTCATTTGAGCAGAAAGAATTTCAGCATTGGCTTAGTTTGTGAACTTGTCTTTGAAGCTGTTTAATTTGTTGTTGAATAGAGAGATACGATGAGAAAACTCGTAGTGGGATTCAGTTTTCTTTCAAAGTTGGCACTTTGGAATTGGGTTTTAAGGATTGCCATTTTGTGTGTGCCTTCTGAACTGTGGGTTTGTGCCCCTGTAAGCATTAGAATTGGCAAAGCTGATGAATAATGTGCACTGCTACAGTCTTGCTTGATTCCAAACAACCCAACAAACTAAACAAGCAAAATCAAACTGAAGTGAAGAAATAGGCTGTATTTTGTGGGAGTGACAGTGCCGATAATTGTTTTTCAAATTACAGGTTTGTTCAAAAGCAAGAAAACACGAAAAGTCGCTGTGGAGCAGTCAAAGCCCACAAGTTTGGAGCAGGTTCCAGAGGAACCTTCAGATCCTGTACCCTCTGTGGTTGTTGACCATGACAGACTAAAGGTAACAGAACTGAAAAAATAAATTGAACTATTAACAGACTCTATTGAAAAAGCTTCCTTTCTGTGTTCTGAAGCAACATTTCCTTTAGTTTTGACTGCAAACAAGTATTATAATCAGAGTGGCTTCTGGAAATGATTTGTCAATCAGTGTTTTTTGGATGAAAGGTTAATAAAACTACTGAATCCTTACTGTCCCATCATTACTACCCTTATAATCCAGTAATGACACTGGATTCCTAGCAGTCCACTCTTTTAATTGCCCATTTTTGCAGGTACTCACCATGTGTTTATTGGCCATCCAAGGTACCAAGAAACTGCTGGGTGCCTGGTAATTGGGAGTTAATACCATCTTTTCCTGTGTGTACCAAGGTATACTTGGTGGAGAAAATTCAGTGGATTGGAAAGCAAATGGAAATTTGTGTGGATGTTTTGGCATTATAAACTGCTAGTTAATTTTCTTCCAGTTTTTTTTAAGCTTCAAGTTTTTTTTTCAGTTAAAGTTACAAAAAAATTTGCTGTCTTCTGTTGTAAAAAGTAGCTTGACCTACTGTGACCTATGAAATTTAGATCCCATTTTCTGTGGAATACAGATGATGATCTCTTCAGAAACCACAGAATTGTTATGACAGGAGAAAAAATAATCTTAAATGTCACTCTTTGCTACTATGTAAAATACTTTCACCTTTGTTATGAGAAATTTTGCATATGTTGTGTCCTCCTTCTCTTTTGTTGTTCTGTTTAACAACATTTGTGGAAGACCAAATGTTTTTCTGTGGTGGTACTTTTTTTCCCTGCCAGTATAAGTGCTTAAAAATGTCTACGTACGTTGACCATCAAAGCAGTTTTTAGGGTTTGCTTTGTTACGATGACCAACCAAGATGAAATAGGATGCATTAGCATTCCATAAGACCAAACATTGCCCCAGCTGTACCGAGTAAAAGAATCTTAAGACAAGAAGAAAAGTGGGTATAAGCAGAGAAGTGAAAGGAGGCATCAAGTCCTTTTTGTATAAACATGGAAGCAGTGGTCTTGCTGATACCCAGGTGTGGTTCATTTCATTTGTACGTATCCCTTCGAAGGAGGGCTTCAGAAACACATTGCATTTCTTATTTGTCCTTAAAAAAATTAAAGAATTATTCTAGAAACCCTTTTAACTTCGCCTTTTGTTGTTCCAACAGAAACTGCTTGATTTGGTGGTTAAGAAAAGTGACAACCTGACTGTTGACCAACTTGAGAGATTGTATTCACTCCTCAGTCAATGCATCTACAGACATCGTAGAGACTATGACAAATCACAACTTATAGAGGTAATGTTGTACAGCTTCTTTTATTCTTTATCTGAACATTGTGAGATAGGCTTTTCAGAAACTGTTAATCTGTCAATTTATTGTTCTACTAGCAGGCAAAAGCCTTTAATAGACTTTGAAGAAGGTATCTATAAAAAGGAAAAAGCTTAGTGTGGTAACTTAGAAACTGGCGGTTGTTTCTAAGAACGCTTTCTGCAGAAGAGGATTAAGAATTTACCTAGAAGAAGAGAGGAAAAAGAGGAGAGGATACAGCAGCATGAAAAGCACATGCTAGCAGAGTAAAATTGAGTGGAAGAAGTTTCCATGTTTGTGGCACGACTAACAATGGATGTAAAGTGGTGATTTCATAGGTACCCTGACCTGGCATTGCTGCTGCTGCTGCCCTTAATTGTGTTGGTGTAACTAGGCCAAAACCAATTTACCCCCCTCTGCTCCATGCAGTTGCAGATTCTGACTTTCATACAGGACCTTAGAAGTGTGAACACTCTGTTGATCAGTAAGTGCAGCCTTAGGAAGGTCAGTGCAGCATGGTGGAAGCCAGGTGTCTGCCTTGCCATCATCCTTTGTGACTGAAGTGTTTGCCCTCCAAGGCCTCCTGTACATCAGCAGCAAATTGGTCATTTCAGCATTGGCACAGGCTGGTGCCAGCTCTGGGTGTGCATTCCCTCCATCACCACTGTTGTAACTGCAGAGGGGTTTGGATTAGCTTGCTGATTCAACTGATAACCAGCCCTGCTGAGAAAAGGACAACAATTGGTACTTTCCAGTTGGATCACTGAGCGCTGAATATTTTTCTCCATGAATAATTTACAACAAAACCTGGAAAAGCCATAGTGGGGGCTTTTGTAGAGTTCCTACAGAATACTTTTCAATCTGTTTTCATGCTATTCCCTGCCATCTTCACCTAAAAATGTGTTGAAAGTCTGAGCAAGATGTTAGGTAGATTAAAAAGGCATTTGTCCAGCAGGAGTGTGTAGAGACCAATCTTTACTTAGATTATCCAAACTGCAGACTTGTGATTACAGCTGGGTCACCAACTGCAGAAGTGTGCAGTAAGACTTGAACTCATGCATTGTGCCACTGCAGTGCTTTCCTAATATATATTGAGCACATTAATTATATAAGTGACCCTAATAAGCCTTGATTTTTCTCATGGACTGTCATTGTAGAGGGCTTTTCTGCATTAATGCTTCTCTAATTAGTTCCCTCTTTTATCGTATTTTGCTAGCAGATAGCAGCTAATAAACAGAAGTGTCTGTTTTCATATATTTATTTGTTCAGATTAAAAAAAGTGTCACAGTAAGTATTATTACATAAAGTAACTATATTCCTGTCTCTGTATTTATGAATAGTTAATGGTCTGTGTCTCTTGCAGGAGATGGAAAGAACAGTTCATGTGTTTGAAACATTCCTGTGAACTCGTCAAGATGGGTGGGTTTATCCTCTCAAACTGCTCATGGGAGAGCAGTCCTCTGAGCCATTCAGTTTCCATTTGCACCAAGTATGTGCAGAGCCTTGGTCTTAAGTGCTCTCTCTTTTTGTTTCTGTTGAATTTGGTGCTATTGTCTCAGGTACCTGAAACCAACCAGCCTACAAGAACCAAACGGAACTTCATATAGTTGTATCTGATATAAATAAAGAATACAATGCCACAGCTTGGAGATTTTTGGTGCTACAGAAACTGTTCTCATTCCTGCTCTTGTTCACTCTACATGCATTATCTATGGGGAGACTTCAGGCAAAGTGAAGACCAACACATACAAGAGGACTGGAAAGAGCAGATCTAAGTTGAATATTTTTAAACAGGCAACCTTTTTTATTTTTTTTTTCCAATTTTTCTCTTCTCTGGGGTTATGGACAAAAAAATCTGTCCTAAAGAAGGCAGTGATGCATTGTGGTAGGAATCTTGAGTAACTGGATGTACAGTAATTTGAAGATGAGGCTCTCTAGAACTGCCTTTAATGTGCCTTTTAGTCAATTGAGAAAGATAAGGCTAAGCAATTTGTTTGGATTATAGCAAATGGCAATGTTAGAAAGCTGTCTGCAGAATGAAGATCTCCAAAAGGATGAATTGTATTCTCTTCATTGGATGGCAGCCAGTATTATGGTTCTATAATGCCTGTCTTACTCTACAGAACTAAACTAAGACACACTGAAAAAGCCACATACTTTACCAAAATGGTGAAATTCCTTTTTCATTGGTATATATTTTGTTTTAGAAACAAGTTACACAGTGAAACTCTTCTGTGTTGCTAAAAATGAAGCATTTTCCCACTGTGTCCTTGTTTTCCAGTGCGAGTTCTCTGAGGAAAGCAAGATTGATACTGGCAGGTTTTGTTGGGAAGGTCTGTGTTTGTAATATAGCTTGGACTGTGCAATGCAGGCAAGAAGACACTATAGTTGGTCAAAGTCCTGGAGCCCAACATCAGCTGAAAATAAAAACTTCTCTTAGGTTTCACGAGTTGTTCTGTGCAAAGCATTGTTACTGTGGGGAGGATTGGAAGAGAGCCTTTTGAATCCACCTTTGCTAAGAGTTCTCTGGGTCTGAATTGTGTGGTTCAACACCTTTCCTTTCTGGCAGCTGGAGAGAGCAGTCTAGGCAGTTTTTATGTTTTATCACATGTAGAACATTACCTGGGCTGGTTTATTTCACTCCCACATGGAAGTGTTCTAGAGCAGTTGGCTGCTGTTCCCATCCTGAACCGTTCATCGTGGCTGTCCCTACGTAGCTGCAGAAGTGTCTGTGCAGAAATATGCAACGCAGTGTGGTTAGTTTTTAATAGACAAAACATACTACTGCAGAGATCCTGAGCTACCTCAGCTTTTTGTATTTTAGTTACCAACAGTGTTTATGGAGGACTGTAATCACGCTGCTCCCTGTACAAAGCCAGGCTTAGGGACTCATCTCCACCCTCATCCCAGGGTAGTGCTGCAGAGAGAGAAAACATGGGCCTTGGGCTACTGCAGTAATCCAAAGTGCTTTGTCCGTTGTGGTCAAACATCAGCCTATCTTAGAGTTTTTTCACCCCTGAATGCCACTGTTTTTCTTCATAGGTAATAGCAGGAAAAGGTTTTAAGCATTCATGTACATCTAGTTACACCGAAATGCAACCCATGCAGAAACACTGTATTTTTTAGGTGGGAAAGTGCGATTAAAAACAACAAAAACAAGCAGAAAACGCATTTTAAATGAGATTCTTTGATCTCAGATTTGATTATGGGATTTTTTTCCATGTTTCATTTAGTATTTATTAGCATCATACCTGTTTGAGATATTTATGTGTCTGGTACATTAACAGCATTTTGTATTTTGATGGAAATTGTTACAAACTTTAAGATTTGATTAAATGAAATGTAGCAGATTTTTTGTAGCAAGTTTCTGATAAAAGGGTTTTTTGCAAGTCTCAGGTTCTTGCTGCAGAATTTTTTAAAAATATTTATTCCAGTTTCACTTACTCAAAGAAGTTTTTGTTCAAGTAACAGCAGCACTTGTGGAAGATAAAACTGCATTCATTTTTAAGAAGATAAATTTATATAAACTAAAACAGTTGAGAATTTTAGTCACCAGTGAGTGTAAAAAGCAAGTTTAAGCTAATGCCTAGCGTTAAAAAAGGTTCTAAAAGGTCAGGTTTCTAAAGGAAAATTTTTACTGTCAGTTGTTGATTGGGAAAAATCATTAAGAGGCAACTTTAATGATTGAGGAGCTGCCATGTTGTTTTAGAGAAACGTAGCTAATATCAGATGTTCTAGTGGACAGCTTACCTAAAATGATATACTTGCCTTCTTAGCCCAAATAACCACACTTCAGTTTTTGTTTTCCTTTACAGATGTCTGGTGGTTATAGAGTTAAAACAGCTGTTAATCTATCCATGTGGTCTAAACTTGTTTACTCTTTGTATGTTTTTAATTTTTTTGCCACATAGCACTGGCAAGAGTTTGTACAAATTGACCTCTCTTCCTTGTTTCTTGTTGTGAAAATTGCAAATAAACTCCTATGTGAGTCCTTGTCCTGGACTCTGTGGAATGTGGCCAGCTGGGAGGAGGAGGAGGAGGAGGAGGTTTCCCTGGGGGCTGGGCGGGCTGTTTTGGACTGATAGAGTTGCTCTTGGGTGATGACTCTGGAGTTAATTGTATTTGCAAGCTTGAATCTCACCTGTGATTATTTTGTTTTGTTTTGTTTTGTGTCCTCTGTATTGTTACTTGATTTCCTCATATGCCAATGTATTTATAGGATTACTGGGTTTTGTAATATCTTGTCTTCCTTTTTTTTTTTTTTTTAATTAAGTTGGTGAGTCAGCGCTGGTTTTACCTTCAGTCTCGTGAATGGCAGGTCCTGCAGCTGATAGTCTTTTATTTTGTTTTTGTTTTATTTTGTAATCACACCATAAGCTTGAATTTGGGCTTGTACTTGCATCTTTTGTATCTTGTACATTGGGTTATTTAGACATTGGGATGTCCTGTTCGGTTTCATTAACTTGTGTCTACTTTGTGGATTAAGTAGACTTCCTTCATCAACTATGGTATATTTTGGATTCTATAGTTTTATTCAGAATTGTGTTTAAATTGATGTTTTGCATTTTGACTTCATTTTACGTTAGTTTGAAGTAAGTTATTTAATTTTTTTGAACTTCTGGAAATTTTGAACATTTTACTGTAATTTGTAATATAACTGCTGTGAAATACTTGAATAAAGATGACAAGAAAACACAGCTTTAGCTCCTTCAAAAATGTATTTAAAAGAAATGGCTGGAAGCAGTCTTTTCCTTACTAGACCTCCTTGGTTTTGCAGTTCAGATGTAACACTTTGGGATCTTGCTGTTCAATTATTTTGAGCAGTTTGGTCCAACTTCTGCTTTCAGTGCTTGTCCATTAGAGAAATTAGTTCTAATTAGAGGGTTTTTTTAAAGGAAAGAGTATTTCCTTTCTATTTATTATATTTAGTGAAGTTGTTCAAACAGCTTTGGCTTGTTTGTCTTTTGGTTTTTGATAGATGAACTCTTGAGGTATAGGACATGGAACACCCCTGGACATTTCCCTCTTTTCCTTTCTTGTACCTTAAACTGTTAGAGCTCCTGGGCAAAAGAGTAGATGAGGAATTGGGTAGTAGTAACTTCATGTCTGACTCCAGTTCCACTTTTACATGCGGCTTTGAAAGCACAATTAGATATGAAATTCAATACCTGTTGTATAATAGTGATTGGTGAGAGCCTGGGCTCAGCATGGGCTGCTGTGTTTTCACCTCACAGGCTCCAGCACCAGCTTGGGTTTGCAGTGTGAATAAAGGGAGTGTGAGGTCTTGTGTCTCTCTTTGTCTTCAGGGGCGGGAATGGCCAGCTAACAGGGAAGAGATTCAGGTCTCATTTCTGGCAGTGGCTGGAAAAATAACCAGTGGAAAGAGACAAAATATTTGGGAACTCACAAAAGGATTCTTGTGAAGATCCTTAGTGAAGTTGGAGTGGTACTTCAAAAGCATGATTTAGTAAGAAATAGTTAGGGTGGGTGTTCCTCAGGCCTTTGTAGATGCTTGTGCAACACTCATATTTGTCAAGTGTTCACTGCTTAATGCTGCTTCCTTCTGCTGTTGATTTCTGCCTTGAATGTAGTTTTGAAATCCAATTTCCCATATTTCCTTAAATTTGCAGTTCTGCACATTCTCTGTTTCCTCCTTAAGCTCTTCAGGTAATTTATTTAAATAAATTAAAAATGAGATTATTTTCTTCTGTATCTTGGGTAGGATTTGGACTTGTAATGTATGGGGTTTTAAGCCAGCACTGCATGTGAATAAATTCTGCAAGGTAAATCAGTAAACTTACGAACTGATTAATGAAGCCAAACACTTAATTTTTTTTCCCCCTCCTCCTTTCATGCTTCACTTGTGGTCATGTAACTATTATGTAAAAATGAGGGATTATAAACTTTAACACTAATTAATTCAGCCTCATTCCATTTCTAGGTGAGTTATTTTTTTCCAGTGTGATAATTTGCATAGGAAGTATATTTTAGTTGAACCCACTGCTGGTTGTGACTACTGTGAAATTCCATTTATTTTAGAATTGCACTTGAGTTACGCTATGCTAAGCCTTACTTATATATCAGGAAAAATCCTTTCCCTTTAAAAGTATGATAAGCAGCTGAGATTTGAAATGGATTCATCACTTCTGGTGGAATGTTAGTGTGAACCTGGCCCTTTGCACTGTGATTGGCTGGACTGGAATGCTGATGTGCAGTAACGCTGCTTTCAAGGCTGAGGTGCAGAAGGTGATGTGGAGTTGGGTTCAGAGGCTCCTCACATCCAGTGACAGAGGTGGGGCAGGGGCTGTTCGTGCTCCACGTTTGGGGTCTCAGTGATGCAGCCCCCAGGATGTGTTTGTTGGCCAGCAGATGAAGTGGGGTTGGTTCTGCTGTGCTGGACTCCTCTGGTTCGCTGGGTTTGCTTCTGTCCTCCAGCAGTCTGGATTTTGGCAGAGTGTGTGTGAGAAATGTGCAGGTCCCTCAGCCTGGATGGCTCTGGGAGTGCTCACACCATTTTGTCATCCTGGTTTTGTTGTGGACATGAGAAAACCCTTTTGCATCAGTGTAAAATCTGATTTGTGCCATAGTCCAGAGATGCTCAACTGTGTCTACAGGAAAGTAGGAGTTTGTGGGAGGTGACCTGTCCTCTTTGGGACTCTGCCTTGGGAGAAAGGAAAGACTTAAGGTCAAGTTTCAAAAGGACTCCCTTTGAAGTATTTATTCATCAAAGGGAGTGAAAGAATATAGAGGATTGATTCATCCTAGAAAATACATTAAATTTGGACTCAATTAGTTTTCTAAGAAGGAATCTTTCTGCTGTAGAAGGAAAAGAAAATTATGTTTTAGTTAAGAACCTGTTTGTGAAAACCCCAGCTACAGATTTGTTGTAAAGATCTGGCATTCTCCTGCTGACTTTGTTACACTTTACAGAATCACTTCTGTGTGGAGGCTGCCTGGAAGAACGGTGATACCTGATTTGTGATAGGAAAGGAAAATTGCTAATATGTTTTAGGTTTCTAATGAACATAATTCCAACATAAGTTTTGAAGTGATGCCCACTGTATTCTCTGTGACATTACAGAAGGTTTAGTGTGAGAAAGGAAATGTAACATGGATAGTGGCATGTTGAATGTGGCTACATCAGTTTAGTGGTAAATGACTGTGTCCTATAGACATTTGAAGTATCATAAATAAAAGCATGTAAGACTACATTTTCATAAAGCATTGGAGATTTAACTGGTATAAAATTAATGTTTCACCTTTATACTGGGGCTAGGCTGCTTCAGAGTCTTGCTCTAAGATCCAAAGCTTGTCCAGCAGGAAAAAAAGCTTTTTTTAAAAAGCTTCCTTTTCACAAGATTCAGAGGACAGCCACGAAAGCACAAGCTGAGCATAAATTTTGCACTGTTAATCTTGTCAATGCATGAGAATAAATTGTGGAAATGG